TTATAATCATACTTTCAAAATTAAAATTACATACAAATAATACAATTGTATACCTATGTAAGCTATAAATTATTTTGGCTTACAGTGTCACTGTAAGTTTTAAGATTTTCTCGCCATCTTTTCAGTTTATCAACATTTCCTTTCTGTTTTTTGGATAAATACCTATTTTCTTCGTCGTTTTTTTATTTGTAAAACGTTTTCCATTATCACAATATAATAACGTAAAACGTTTACGTATTATTATAATTTAAAAGGCAAAATAGTAGGCAGCTGACAATTACGGTAGAAGATATTATATATACATTATACGTACCTACCCAGCAGCTAATAAGTACTATGTGTACTGTCGACTACTGTGCAGCGATACTGCGATAACATCTATTGCATATTTTTATTTTTATTGCCGCTGTGATGTCGCCGCGCAGGAGCTATTATTAAATAAGTTTACTGGGGCGATGGACTTAAAACAAGTTCAATCAGAAAAACGGGATACTTTCGCACACGCAGTCACATGTCAAATACGCACCGTCGCACGCTCGACAAACATTAGTTACTATTTTTTTTTTTTCTAAAAGTATCAATCTTTTTCCAATCGTACAAACTGTTGTAGTAATAGGACACATATTATGAAAACATATTTGAATTCGTCATAAAGTTTACTTGAAAACGACTTTCTCAAATGTTTAAATACATTTTTTTTTAGCTCAACATAACTATTAATTTAAAATTCTTAAAATTCAAAATTTAAAATTTAAATTTAAAAGGTTCAAGTGATCAAATTCAAAAAAGTTGAAAAATCGTTTTCAAGTAAACTTCATGACGAATTCAAATATGTCTCCAGAATATGTTTCCGATTATCAGTCTGTACGATTGTCAAAATAAAGGTATATTTTAGTAAAAATCACAGCTGTGTGGAATCCTCTTAATGAAAATAAAATGTTGAAAGGTTAAAATTTTCAACGGAATAAACTCTATAAAATAGGTATTATTATTTTATTTTTTAAATTAAAAAATTAAAAACTATTTCTTTAACTTTTTAGCAAAAAATTTTATCAAATTAAAATATAAAATATATGTAGCCCTTGTCTATGTGAATCTAACAAAAAAAAAAAACAGATTTATGATATATTTATTATCTCAGGTGGTATGGCTCACGGGAAATTATACATGTAATACACCTTAAAATTGAGTTTTGTAGTAGTAGGTTGTAATTTTAATGACAAAGGCATTACTCCGTTAAAACCGGAGTTTTATAATATAAGGTTTCGTAAAACTATAAAAGAGAAATAAATTAAATTTAAATATCAAACGTAAATGATATTTCAAAAAAATATATTTATAAAATAAAAAAAATAGTTGATTACAATAAAAAAATATATTAAAAATCTTATAAGATCTATTAAAAGATTTGTATGAACAATTTATCAATTATTGTCTTAGTATCTCTAAAACAAAGTATTACAATTCCGTATTTAAGTATCTAAAATTACACAATTTTGTCTTCAATGGTATACTGTTTCGAGATCGAATACATTTAAGGTTTAAATACATTTTAGGTATAAGTAATTATAATATATATACATATACATATAAACTAAACCTTAACCTACCAACAGTTGTAGTTTAGGGATTATACATAACTGTTGATTGTGGCTTTATTTCATAACATTTAAAGTGGTGGGTTAAAATAATACCTAAATATTAAGTAAGCATATTAAAGTTTAATGAAAGTATATTAATGTGATTTTCTTGAACTCGATTTTATTGGTAGTAGATATTACAAAAATATTTATCTAAACTTTTTTTTAATAATGAATTATAATATCAAGCACGCTTAATACAGTATGYAATGTACCTATCATGAAAATGCTTAGAATTTATAGCATTATTGTAGATATTGCAATGACGTAATATTTTAAATATTAAATAGTCATTTTAGATTATAGTTCTAAATAGTAAGATAAAAATAACCTAAAGAGGAAAACTTTGACTGAGCAATTGGATTATTATTTTTTCACATAAACGATAAAAAGGTTGTTTAAGTTTCAAAACGTAAAAATAAGGTTTGCACTGCCAAAMATCTAGTCTTTTTATGAGTTTTTAAGTAGGACTTTAAACTAAATATTTTTAACAAACAATTAATGGACTTGTGGCGTTCTTGTTGGTATATTCAAGAAAATTAAATAGGTAGGATAAATACATTAATCACCCCCATAAAATAATTCAAAAATATCATACAATGTATTACCTAATAAGTAATTTAATATAAATTAAGTACCTATCGGTATCAGATCAACCACCGATAAAATTCCTAAATATTTTAACCACGGAACCTCTTATAATATATTATAATATGTAATATGCCAAATATTTTATAAAGGCGACAAACTTAGCCATTTCCGTGCGGTATAGATCGTAACCTCCATACGACCCTATCACCGACACTATATACTACCCAATACTACATCGTTATTGTTCTGCGATTKCAGTTTAATTTAATTTACATCGATATATTATAATAATATTACGTAACCTACATTATGTGAATGGGTTTTCGGTCACAGACAGCCTCAATGTGTACACAATAGGTATCTAGGTTATAATAAATTATACATTGTAGTATTCTTTAATCGGTGATTGATATCTCCCGATAATCATTTATAATAACTGTTGTCCCAAGATATTGGTGTACGAATGGTGGAAGCATACTCGCTGACGGCCGATTCGTATATAGAGGCGGCCTCACGGTTGCTCCGCGACCTGTACGTGGCGCACAGCCAACATGCGAATATGACGAACAGCTGGACCACGACAAACGCGACCAGCACCAGTGCAAACGCGTACGTGTTCCAGTATAAGGTATTCTGGTCGCCCGTACTAGTGGTTGATGTGAATGTGCCGCCGCTGTTGCCCGAGAAGTTGATCTCGTGGCCAGGCTCACCCCGTTGGGCTTCGAATTTAAATTTATCCTCGATGCGGATCTCCTGGAAGACCACTTCGTCGGTTTGGTTGCCACCGCCAACGCTACGTCTCCGGCGCCGTCTGTCAAAAGAAAGAGCGTGTTCAGTTATAAATCCAGAGAAAAAACAAGGACTTGAAACAGGGTACAGCAAATTACGTGAGTCCTTTGCCACTGTTTTATGTGGTTGACTAAAAAAAAAGGTCATATACTTAATTATATTTTTGGGTGCAAATCACCCTCATAGCCATCATCTAGTTACGTGGTTGCATCTATAGTGAGTAAGTCTACATATTTGATAATAATTATTTAAAATCAAAGACTCACGGTAAATAATTAAATCATATATGTACCTAATACAAATGTCTGTTGTATAAAACAATACTACACTATATGCGGGGATTAAATAAAAAATGTAATATTTAATATTTAGAATGAATTGATCTCTTATAAAAATTTAAGGTAACATTAGTATGGAGGGCTTCTCATAGGATTTTTATTATATTTTAATTTTAAATCGAGTTATGAGTAGTATTTGAAAATTGTAAATTGTTTGTATATCTTAAAATGCTCATAACTTGATTTGAAATAAGAATATAATAAAAAACCTAACGAGAAGCCCTCGATAATAATGTTACTTTAAATTTTTATAAGAGTATGTTATGAACCATTTATTTTTTAAGGATTGAATAAGCATTTCTTGTTATTATTATTATTATATATATGTATCCAAGTACCCGTGGAAACGAGCACGGCGGCAGCATAATATGACATTCCGCTGCGTGGACAGTTTTGGTAGCCACAGCGGGCCGGTCGTTTGCGGTCATCCCCAAGGAGAATCAGTCGTATCCCAGCAGAATATCTGTCCGAACTTCTCGAACTCGTGTTAATTAAATTGTTTTAAATTGTTTAATAAAAGATATAGTCGGTTATTTCGCCAAGCGTACTTTATTTAATTTGTCGTGTAGACGTACATAACAAGGTCAATTCACCCTAAATATTTAACTCACGAAGCTAAAAATGATCTGCTGAACGTAAAACTTGGTATGTTACGCACTTGTAAGACATGTGAGTATAACGTCCTCTTAATAGTTAATGCTATAAAAATTACATATTATAAGAATTTAATTATTATAATATTATTATTATTAATACTTGTTCAACTTGTTATTATAGCATTACTATACAGTCATATTTTATTAGAGCTTGGTATACCTAAGTCATAACAGATTATAACTAACTATGTAAGTATAAAGCTGATATTTTAGAAAAAAGCATCTGACAAGTGAACCGTGATTTCATCGAATAATGAGAATGTTTTTGTTTTTATGTAGACGAATTCACGTATTTTAATAAATTTGTAGTTCGAAGTAAAGAATTAAGTCCTTTTTTAATATTTATTTATTTAAGATATTATAATATTTAAAATTTATAAATTTTTCAAAACCAAAAAAATTCGTTACGAATAAATACGGTTATAATCGTAGTACCTAGGTCACTGTGGTACCTACCCACTATGTACTTAAATTATGTTATTGCAACTTCGTCGTGCCAATAAGGACGTTTGTCGCACAYTCCAAATATGAATATTATAAGTCAAGATATCACTGGGACTATGTTTGTTTCCGGCAAGTACCTATATTCTATAACAASCTAATAGCGAATTCTAAAAATGACAAATCAAAATATTGGTATGAAGTTGTAGCTTTTAGTGTCGCTGCCAACTTGATGGACATTATAATATGATCTAAGTTCGTATAAGAACTATTGTGTTTCTTGATTTTGGTTATTTGGGTTTGATATTGGATTCGGTTGTTTTACATGAAGCGATAAAGATGAAGTAAACACACTTCGGCCGAATTGTAATATATTTTAAAGTTATCGGTAACCTGTGTTCTGTGGTATCAGCTGGCCTATAACGCATTAATTGGCCAATCTGAGAATATCGTTTCACACAATAATTACGATAACACGGTAAAAGTGGACGGTAGATGAACACGGTAATAGCGCCTTTATGGTAAATAAGTACAAAATCTACGTAATTTGATCTAACTATTAAAGTAGTAAATAATACTTACAATTGTCAACTGTATTGTACATAATATTAGAGATCGTTTGTCAAGTACTATAACATAGAAAATAATATCATATTATTATGTTTAATAATTATGTCAATAAAATAACAGTATAGGTCGAAGGTGTCTTCAAATATCAGCGTGAGATTATTTATTTTCATTATTTAAATTCAATAACTGTACCTACTGCATTTTGTTTTACTTGTGTCTAGTGTCTACGATGTACCGGAAAACCGACCCCCCCCMCACCTAGGAATATTCACAATATTCGTCGGAGAAATGGCAGTGAAATAAACTTAATAGGGCCACGGAATAGGCCGGAAAACAGTAATACATAATAATGCTCATATAATAACACTTTATTTAATAAGCATTTATCACAGTGTATAAAACCAGATAAGTTATTGTCATTCTGCTGTATTTAGTAGGCGAAGAGGCCTCATTGTWTAGTATATCACTAAAATAGAAATCTTCAAATTTAGTATTTTAATGATAAATCATTGTACCTAAACGATGAGAAGCGATTCTAAGTGGAAAGGATCTGTTAATTTTATGCCTAGGCATACTAAATATATGACCAAGTACAAAATAGTTCGTCATTTTKACGGATACCCTTAATTAATATTTAAAATTCAAACATTTGCTTATGAAAATCTTGAATATAGAATTATATAATGTTTTCAATATTTTTCAATTGCAGTRCGAGCATTGTGAAGAAACTTTTATTACATTTTTAAGCTTTTAATCCACAAATAAAAATGTTGTCACAAGTCAAATAAAATAGAATTGAAAATTTTCAAATGCATAAATATATAGGCAACTCAAAAGTGTCTAAAATATTTACATATAAGTATAAAACTATAAACATTTTTTTGATAATTGTATGTATCTAAAGTGTTAATGTATTAATTCATTATTGAATTGTAGCAATAAAACAAAACTATTTTTTTGGAAATCAGTATTGCATAAATATTAAATATTCCCATTATTATTTTTAGTTTTTCCAGGTTATTTTTAAAAGTACTAAAAAATATCTCCTTTTCACATCCAAAAGTACAAAGTATATCGAAAGTGCTAGCAGAAAATTTATCTGGAACATTTTTATATAATTGGTTATATTTTACTATTTGTATGCTTAATTTGCATATTTTCCAAGTTTTAAATTGATATATACGAGTCAAAATCATTTTWAAAAATTTAATATCTAGCTATCTTATATTTACATATGTTAGTTATGTTAGTTTTCTAGCTTAAAATTTTTTTTTCTAATTATCCCGCAGCAACTGAGGCCATTGGAAAAGGGGTAGTTGTAGGTTTTATGGAACGGTAGGTTGGTTACACGTGGCTGAGAGTTTTGGCAGAATTTCTATTGGGACACCCGTAGGTTCCTGCCATGTCCCGGAGGGGGGGATGGCGGTACTTGTTCTCCGGACATCGTGACTTGCCCGGAGAAAAATGTCATCCGATGGTCGAGGATTGAACCCAGTCCGGCTGAGCCACAGCCGACGCGTTAGACCGCTCRGCCACCTAATCCCCCCGCTAAAAATTGTTCATGTCCAATTATCTATATTATATATCTAAGTCAGATTAGGTATAAACACTTACTATAAACTATACAAAATGTAACATTGATATAATTATTATTGGTGTTATTAAATTAAAAATAATAGTTGGTAAACTTTAAATAAAATGTTAGTGTGCATATATTTTTGTTTTTGAGTGGAGCGATGAATTTATTGATTTCAACATGATGTGTGTTTTTATTTTGTGTCTGTCATCACGTTTTGGGGCAGTAAAAGTGCTTCGATTTTCGACTTCAGTACCTCGTTCGATTAGAAAGTGAATCTAGTTGGTACGTGGGGGGGGTCAAAAGTAAATAAATTCATAGTCACANCGGGGGGGGGGTCAAAAGTAAATAAATTCATAGTCACAATTTTTTTTCTTAACATTCAAAGTTTGAATTACAAAAAACGTAAAAATCACGAAAATTCGAAAAGCTAGAAATTCATAAAAAATGTTCTTTTTAAATCTAAGATTTGAGAAATTAATACAAGCGGCTCCTAACATATTTTTACAAAGCAGTTGAAAAATCAAAAAAAATATTTAGTCACAAATTTTTTTATAAGCATTCAAAGTTTGAATTTCGACAACACATCTACGTAAAAATTATGAAATTCGCAAATTATTTTAAACTAGAAATTCATAAAAAAAATGTATTTTTAAATCTAAGATTTGAAAATTGTTATTAATTTATAATATATCCTAGACAGATAAATCATCTCAGTTCAGAATCGTTTTTCGTATACAATGATATAATATCATTGGATTCAAATTTAATTCCATCCATTACAGTAACTTACTGTAGGTAGGTACAACAGAGCGACATTTACGACTTACCCGCTTTTTACGTTTTAAAAGCATAAAAATAATTTAATTTAAGCATTTATTTTATTATTATTACATTTTTTTTTTTTTAGTGATTTAATATTAAATATCCTGCAGATTTTCATTATCATTTAATATTTACATTTTTTTATCTATATATATAGGTATACCTTCCAAAAGAGTCGGCCCGACGAACCGCACCATTGTGGCCAACCACATTACAATTGATGGGCTCACACTTTGGCAAACAGGGCGTAACCAGTGCTTTGAACTGTACGATATCAGAGGTGGGGAACTTGAACGCRTCAAATGGTGCCTCCAGAATTTTGACGGTGCCACCGCCACCTGTGTCCACTGCCGATATTGGTCCCATAATGGTCGGGTCCGTGGGACAACCATCGCCATCGATAAGGAGTATCTCGCTAGTGTCCACACCATCCAGGGCAATCAGTTCTCGGACGAATATCTCATACGGCGAACGGTCGTCGAGTATATGGAATCGGAGACTAAGCGGATCACCCACCTGCGCGGCGTGTATGTCACCGCCCGCCCTGTTCGTAATCCTCATCATCACTGTGGGTGAAATTACGAACGCCGTCTCCTCCACACCGTTGCCCTCAAATCCACCACCACCGTTTTTATCGGGCGCGTCCGATTCGACCACGTCGTCACCAGGTTCTGTGGCCGGTGCAATCGCCAGCTCGATGCCCTGGCCCACGCTTCGATTCTGCAGGTCATACGAGCATCGCACTGAAAGTCCGATATCCTGACCCGTGACGATCTGGTCGTGGTGCTGCGACATTATTAATGTAACAGTTAGTAATGCAAGTCTAGTAAAATATCGTTAAATTTAAATTCAACACAATAACACATCCATACAGGTTTTACTGCAGTGACTTACAACGCAATAACGAGATACATTCAAAATCAATAAGTTGGCTCACCGAAAGAAATATTGACACCCAAAAATTCACTTTAATCAACCCCTCTCTCTATAAATGAACCACTGCAAATCTGAACGTGCATGCGTGATTTTTAAAGCGGAATATGTACGGGAAATTTTAAAGATGACATAGTTAATGAAAAAAAAATTGAATTCTTTAAAACTTAATACAAATTACTGTAATAAGTTAGAGACAATTTTGAACGATGCCGATACAAATGTACATTACAAATATAATTAATAATAGCAACTCAATGATAATGTATTATATGATCGTAAACGGCGTTTATAAAAAAAACTAATAAAATGCATTAAGGCTAGGATTTAAATGTATAATGGAAAATCCAAAAAATCCAAATATATAGGCACTTATGGCATTGACACATTTCGTATAATAATAGGTAATTAAAATCAGATAAAAAATGTCAAGCAAATACGCTTAATTTAATTTATCTACGATCAACAATAACTGAGGAATTGCTCAACAAATTCTGAGAAAGCTCAAAACCAGAAATTCTTAAAATTTTGACAAAAAAGTTCCTATACGTTTTCAGGTTTATTGGACTGGTTAAACAACTATTAAACCAAAATTGAGAAATTGATCTGCTGTCTAGTAGATTTCGAGTGTAGGTAATACTCTACCTCGTTGTTTCAGAGTAACCTGCAGTATAATAACCGACTACAGTCGACCATTACTACATAATAAGTATGATATCCTTACCTGGATAATTATTTCAGTGAAAAACTTTCCTGGTTGATCCTGACGAACGTCGCAGTTCGGGCTGTGGTAGTCTAACCGGAGGTCAAAATCCAGTGTGCTCTTCACGTCATTAACGCAAGAACTCGGCCGATTCTTGGCGTACACTTTGCCATCAAACAGCCGGTTAGTATGTACGGATGCGACCATGTCTGCGCCGCGACAATCTATCTTCACGCTGAAGCATGACGACATTTGATAAGTGGTGGCACCGGCCACTGTCATGTAAGGGCGGTGGTCCAGCTGCTGTTGCGACAGGCTGGACGTGCTGTGGTGCGAGACGCGGCACACGTTAACGCCCGTCTCGTTGTAGTCGAATGAACGGCATTGGAATTCCTTGGACGCCAAGCATATCTCCTTGCACCGATCTGCGGTGGCCACGTTCTCGTAGATAGCGTCCACAGTTCTCAGGAGCTTGCCTCCAACTTCCACGAAATCACACATCTTTGGTTGCTCGACCACGCAGTTCGACTCCATGTAGTCCACGAAGTCAGCCGATCGATTGCTGATTGGAGGACGCCCGGATACGGTGAATCGGTCTACGTCGTTCATGTAGCAATCACCAGTCTCCTTGTTGAAGTTGACAGACCTGCGAGCACGTCCGAATAAACATAAGACGTCAGTCCACGTTCGTTTATACAATGACATATGTATTTATTATAACATAGGTTGTATAAGATTTGTATTATATACATAGGCATTATTTACTATTCTAATTCAGTATATTTGTAGAGTAAGATATTTTAATTATTAGGTAGTTAGGCATACACTGAATACTTAAATGGAAATAGCGCATTCTCAACGTTTTCTGTGTACGTAGTGAAAATATTTAAAATACACCGTAATAATTAGTATTGATTCAATGTAAATAATTAGTCCTCCTAAATTATAAGAAAACTTAAATATAGGTAGGTACAACTAACGCGGTTCGACAGACTTAAGTTTTGCACGGTTCACAGTACACCTTATTGGCTATTTGTATAGGTAAAAATACTTATAAAACAGTAGATATTTAAAAGGTATTGGAATGATTGAAACAAAATTTAAAATATTTAATTTAAAACAAAAATATAAATTGATGTACAAAATAAACCAGGCCCATATCCAAGGGGGGGATTTAGGGGTTCAGCCCCCCCCCCACACCCCAGATATTTTTATAATTTTTATTATAATAAAAAATGTAGATAAAAATAAACATAGTAACTAATTATGTTTATTTTTATCCAAATTTTGTGTTTAGCAGCTTTATAGTTTTTCAGTATTTGAATCCATTTTAATTATTATCATTTAAATCGTACTCAGATAATAATTTGTAGTACAATTTAAAATATAGTAAGCAATACAAACTTTCTGATTGATTTGACCCTCCTCCATTTGTGGGGTCGATATGTATTTTTGGTTCAGAATGCACTACAATGTAATTAATATGAATTTATTACACATTTAGAAATTGTGTATCTTAATTTATATTTTATTTGTCACTGAATTTTTAAAATATTTTAACCTCAATGCTTACTTTAATCTATACTACATACAAATTTTACATAAGTATATATTTTTCATAAAACTAAATTATTCCTTTACAAGTCTACTATTTAGTATCAACATTTAATTATTTATAATAATATGGCTTTGAAATATTATATTTACGATATCATATACCTAGTTAATAAGCTATAATTATTTACAAATTGCTTTTTTAAGAGCATCACATAATTGTTTATATTTCACGGCAATTTAAATTATAACTGTTGAACAAATAGTATATACATTTTTCATAGTTAATATTTTTTAGAGATGTATATTTAAATACATTATTCTTATGGCCACTCAAAACAACCACCAAAGTGGTACAAATGATACATCAAAATGTGATAAAAAGAAGTAATTTAGAATACAATAATTATAATAAACTTAATATTGTAACCTCATAAACATTATACCGAATCTAGGTTATTTCATTTATCTGACTCTTGTTGTGTCGGCGTATAGTATTTTACACTAGGTATAATCAACTAATCACGAGGTACAAAGTATCCCAAACCGGAAACCAGAAAATTATGTTCGATTTTATTTTTAAACTCGCAACACCACTATTATATACCAAGTTATACATATAATAGGTCTGTAAAAATATGAAGTGTAAGAAATATTGATTTTTACTTTTTACTGATTTGACAAAATACTACGCGTTATTAACTTAAATATATTTTAATAAAAATGTTTATTATCAAATTAGGAAATTTTATATGGGTCTTAGTCTCAGACTTTAAATAATATAATGCAAATATGCATTTATTATACATTTGGATATTTTGCTATTTAGTATTTTAATTCAGATTTGATTTATTTTGATCGCTTATCAGTTATCATGTTTTTAAACCGTTTTAACATTATTACTTAATATTTTATATATGTGATTACTAATTTTATATGGGTAACTAAATTATAGCTTTACAAGACTAGATGATTCATTTTTTAAGTATTAGTATTATTTATAATAAAATATTGTGCTAAGTCTCTTAAGCTATATTCATTTAAATAATGCTAACTATTATTTAAAWAATATCTGTGATGTAAGATATTTCACTGCAATTTGTATAATGCCATTGATTCAAAAACCGCAGGTGGATTCCCTACCTGRTAGGTAATATACTTCTCCCATAATCATAAGCGAAACTCACGGGCAACTCCGTGCAGGATTGCTAAACATAATCGGGTATTCGGAAAAAAAGCCCCGTACCAACTAAATACATAACACGTTTTTCATTATAGTGTAAATTTTATAATTTGAAATTTTTAAACAATATACCTATATTTCAACATTATTATGTAACGTTTTTTTTTTAATTTTTTAACTTTTTAAATTTATACATACTTTTATTTCATAATAATATTTAATAAACTGTTAAAGCATTATTACTAACAATTGTTATAAAATATATATAATAAATAGTTAAATAACATTCCTTAACACGTTTTGTTATAAAATATACAAGTATAGCTGCAATCTKCATTTTACATAATTTATTTACAAAATAATTTTAAAATGTAACTGTGTTCAAATTTAAAATAATTTAATAGCTTTGCTTTCTAATTTTGTGGCTAACAAACCATTAAAAAATCTAATATGGAAACCTATCTCATTATTTTTAATTTGCACACATACATTCTTTAAGCGGTTTTCAATTAATTGTTTTGTACCTGTATACTCTCTTACATTACTTAACGCCAATTTTGCTTGGTTTGCAGCAACTTCCATTTTCATTTTTTTTTATTAAATTCCAAGTTGTAGGATGCTTATGAGCACAGAGCTTTGAAAAGAGGTTATTCCAACAACCTTTTAATGTTAATTAATGTACATTCCACGTAAACGGTGGAAATATGGGAGTTATTTCACGCAATCGCAAGGACGAAGCAGTTCCTATTCGATCTAAGACAAATGGACGCGGCCGTATGTGCGCGGGTACATTTGGACGCGAAAAAAACATAAATTATAATAATATTTATTTTCCAGGTATAGGGAAACTATACCATAACATAATTGATGTTATGGAATTCTTTTATGTGTTTTTTTTTTATACTCGTATATATCAAACGCCTATTCAAATTTAAGAGTTATTTTCAGAAATATTTTATCGGCAAAGTATGTCACGACAAACAAAATAATAATAATAATAAAATATGAAATAATTRGATCGTGTCATCCAAATCTATTCACCACATTATACTTTTATCACGATATTAGGGATTATCCGACGTTATCGAAAAACGTTATCGCTAAATTACGTAGTCGATAAAATCCACTCGCACACCAACGAAAACTTTAGTTGACCGAAAGCAGTGTTTAGATTTACGTTACTTTTATAATATAACAGCGATTTATTTAAACACAATATATAATATTTGAAGTAGCTATGGCATTAATGAAGTCAAATCGTAATGAATGCAATTTTACTGAAAATGATTTTATATATTTATTTGACAAACTAACTTCTGATTCGCTTAAAAAAATTTGGCGGTGTAAATACAAACGTGAGTGTAAGGCACGCGTTCATACGGGAATTTATAGTTTAGAAGAACTGAAACGTATCAATGAACACACTCATGATTCGGGGGCTGCAAAAGTCGGGRTGGTGGTTTCCATTAATCGTTTGAAAAATAGAGCGGCTGAAACCATGGAACCAACTTGAAGTGTAATCAACGAATGTACATCTGGATTATCAGAAGCAGCTAAGGTAATACTATTTTGTTATTAATTATATAYATAAAGTAGTAAAAAAAAATGTAGTTATTAATTTCATTCATTTTAATTTAGGGTGCAATTTCATCAAGACTAGCATTGAAAAAAGTAGTACGACGGAAACGAAATTAAATTAAAGCATCACCAAATGCGGGATCACGACGTTGAGCCGACAACCAGTAGGCCGACAAGATATTAGGCCGACGGACCTTTGGCCGACAAGATATCAGGCCGACAGATTATCTAAATTAGGTTATATATTAATATAAAATAAAAATGTATTACTAAATTACAATTTGTTATTCATATTTCATATAATCAATATAAATCGTCTAAAAATATTCGTTTTAATAATACAAAATTAAAAAAATAAA